TTGGCCTTTCTATTAAGTGCGGCCGTTGCGATCCGCTGTGATAGCGACGGGTTTTTTTGTGGTGGTAGGGTTTTTCCTTGAGGGGTTTTGCCCGGAAGCCGGGTTTCCCCTCCATATATTACCATGTTGGTATTTTCTGATGTATCCTGGGGCGTTCTTGCCCAATTGATGGTTAGTCACTTGCGTGAAGAACCAGGAAGGGTGTTCGTGGGTCTGCGAACATTGTTGTTGGATACATGTGCTGGATGATTTTGTGTCACGCAGACTGGTAAGATAACCGTTTGATAGGGGGCACCGCGATGATTCACGGGGCGCCTCCTTGCTGTGGGAGCCGCTCTTTGAGCACTCCCTCTTTCGTCCGTGTGGAGGACGGCCGTCGACCTCTCGTGAAGTTAATATATCACCAAAACAGTCTCACCCGATAAATACGTGGCGTAGGCCGCAAACATATATCTTTTGTAAGAAGATAAAGTTACACCATTAGACCAGTCAGCGCTGACTGGTCTATTGGTGTAACTTTATCTTACAGGTAGCAACAGAAGAAAAACTGCACCGTCTACGAAGGCTGTTACCTTGCACTCGATTCCGCTTTGGAGTTCGTTCACCGTCGTCATCCTTCCTTCCAACTCTGTTGTTCTCATGGTGTATTTCACAGCAACTTTTCGACATTTGGCCCCTGGCCCTGCGTCGTTTGTGGTGGGGAAGGTAATCTGGCTCGAAGCTCTTGCTCTCTTTCACGCCATAATTCCCTCCTCGACTGCTGCTTTGGTCTCTGTGTCGTCCTTCTCCGGTTCCCTCTGTTCCTCCTTCATCTCTGCCAAACGAATCCCTCTCATTGCCATCCTGGTCGTTTCTATCTGCACTACTACCGAGATCCCAACCTGCTGGCCGCGGTGGGAACTGATCAAGAAGTAGCCCATGACGATTGAAAACATCACGAGTTCGTACGGATACAAAACGAGCCAGCTCGAAGGTAAACCGTCTCCGAATCCTGTTGGTATGACAAGCTATTGGGCGAAGCAAGGCTGTTTCGTCGTCGAAATCACCCTTGCAAAAGGCTTCATAAACCAAGTGGTTGGCGATGGCTACGATTATGTCGATTTGTGCCTTTGCCAAGACCACCATACGTTAAAAAAGCAGCAGCAAGGAGGGCAGGTCTAGACGGGTTGGAAGTTCACCCATAGTGATTTGCCTTACTTGAAGCTCGATCTTCGAGGGCTGATCCTGGCTTTTGGATAGACTTGTCGATGGTTCGACCTGCGGATGGGTTGCGATTGTTACGTCTGTAAGAATGGACTTGGTGCAGAGTTCTTATTTATCTCCTGCATGTAATCCTGGGGGGATCACCAAATGTATGTGTGTGTGTGCGTCATTGGCATCGACCGCGCTGTGTGTGTGTGTACTGAACCGGCACTATTGCGGGGCGCGGCGGTGCCCAACCAGCACAAATTCGGGGCCGCCCTCAATAGTGCCTGACCGGCACCATTGAGGGCGCTGCTGGTGTCCAGTGTCCAGAGATTTTGTTGGTATGTCCGTACTTGGGAGGAGAAGACCCGCTTTAACTCTCTCTGATTCGGCACCCGCGGGAGCGAGGAAAGGAAGGGAAGAAGTGGCCCTCCCGAATTCGGGGAAGGGGGCCCACACATAGTAGCCTTTTTCAGGCATACGCATGCTCGTGTCTACATACCCCCCCGTGCTGCTAGCAGATCTACCATGCTCGTATCCAGACACACGAACAGATTTTACCAGCACTATACCGGGCACCGGCACTATTCAATTGGCACAATAGCGGAACCAGCACTGTAAGACAAAGGGAGGTACATTGGTGCGAACTTTATTCGGCATGATCCTCGAATAGGATATGACAGTTGTGCTTACTGCTGCTGCAGCATTCCCTTCTAGAAACCTTGGCACTCCCCCAAAACGTCAATGTGCCTTCAGTACCCGGAAACCGTGTACCCGGGTACCCGGGTATCCGGACAACCCGGACAACCCAGGGACCCGGCCGGTTCCACCCCCCCCGAAGACCTTACTGAACTGGGTACTCGGGTACCCGAGTACCCGGACAATCCCGGACAACCCGGATACCCGGCCGGTTCCACCCCCGAAGACCCTACCGGGTACCCGGTTCCAATTTTCCCAGCCGGGTGACAACCCCTCCAGGCCAGAGGGGAGCGTCAATCAGCTGTGGCAAGGGGTTACTGTAGTGGCATGATCAGATGTACCGCGCAGGGGGGGGATAAAGGGGTGGCAACTTTGCGAGGTGTGAACGATGGACTAGTCAGCAGTGGGAAGGGAAAAAGGGAATTTCTAGCAAGACGCTGCAGGAGACCTAGAGTCCCGTCGGAGAATGAAGATTTTGACCAAGTGTTTACGAAGGAGGTGGACGAATGGGCGAAGGAAGGGGAAGAAACATCGAAGGTAGATGTTGGGAACGTAGAGCTAGAGAAGGAGTTCACTGAGGACGAGGTGGAGAGGTGGAGACTCTGTGCACAAGCTGCAGTGCCACGAAGCGGCAGGGGGGGATGGGATAGTCAACTAGTTCATGAGGTTTGGTGGGAAGGGAATGATCCAGCTAATGGTACTGCTGTACAACTGGGTGTGAAAAAACGAGTATCCGCCAAGTACAAGGAGGGAAGGGGTGGTGGCAAACTCGTTTAAGAAACGAGACAAGACTGATCCAGGAAACTACAGGGGGGTCACACTGCTGTTGAACACACTACGACAAGTGTTCTGTAAAGTGCTGAACGATAGGATAGTGGAAGTATTGGAGAAGGAACGTATGGTAAGTGAGGGCCAGGCAGGTTTCCGGAAGAAAAGGGGGTGCGTAGACCACGCATTCACGTTAGGGAGAATCATCCAAGATAGAACGCGGGCGGGGAAGCCAACGTACTGCTTCTTCCTGGGCGTGGAAAAGGCATACGACACATTACGGAGGAATGTGCTGTGCAAACAATTGTCCAAGTACGGGATCAAGGGGGAAAATGTGGAGAGTGCTGAAGAAGATGACAGAGTGTACGAAAAGCGCGGTCATGCTAGACGGAGAACTGTCTAAATTCTTCGACATTGAGCAGGGGGTCCCACAAGGTTGCACGCTGTCCCCAACATTGTTCCAGGTGTTCATCAACGATTGTTTGAAAGTCGTAGAAGCAGTCGGGAAGGGAGTAGAAGTAGGGAAAAGAGCAGTGTCGGGAATGCTGTTGGCGGATGACTTTGTTGGAATGTCTGGCACCCCTGAGGGACTGCAAATGCAAATTAACGCGGCGAAGGAGTTTGCTGATCAGTGGAGATTGTCTGCCAACGTTAACAAGAGTGCCGTCATGATGTGCAACGAGGACAGGGAGGAACCAGTAGAACAAAGATGGAAGTGGGGTTCGAGGAGATTGCAGTAGTGGACCCGTACACACACCTTGGAGTAGAGATCGCAAAAGACTGCTCGTGGAATGCNGAGACGCAAGGAAGCTCACATGGCAGTATCGCATGTGCGGTATAGTGGGGGCTACGGTAAAAGAGAGTGTCGTGACAAGCCAATATCTCTCTCTTACATCCGGTTTTTTTCTTATACAATGTTGGCCACAGTTCAAGAGAAATATCTTAAACCGTAGCCAACTCAGTTAAGGCCGTAAACGAGCCATGCTGTTGCTGAAACCGCCGGGCGAGGTTATGGAGGGCAACAATGATATGTTGAGAACGTTGCTGCTCCGTGCATCAGCGCCTTGTTCGTGCTCACGAGGCACACCGAATTTCACAAATACTCGGAGTAGCTGGAAGAAAATACCAGCGAGAATAACAAAACGAAATGGTATGACATTGATGTACCACCGTAGCAAACCTCCCCATTCCTACGTC